TAATTAGCAGATTCCCTTGAGAAAGGCTTTGAGATGAAGCATTGGAGTGGCATTTGTTTTAGTATCTTCTCACTCTCTCTTGTCTGTTGTGCCGTCATTCATTACTAGTATGTAATCTGTATTTAGTTTGTCTGTGTATACATATGTTGTTTCTGATTGACCAAGAAGTTATGGTGGGAAAAAATAGTGATTGAAATCCCCTTCCACCTGAAGTCAGTGGATAGTTAATACAATGTTAAACACAGATCTGCACACCAGTCAAGCCATACGACTTGCTTTTCCTACAGAAATCTCAAATTTTAAGTGATGTTACTACTGCAAGGGGTTCTGGGTGGACATATGCAAATTAGTTCAACAAAGAATCACATTTTTGCCTCATTCCATTTTAAACATGGACTCCTTGGAGTTTTTGTTTTCTGTAACAGCTTTGAAACACAATTCAGGAAGAGGAGCAAAGCCAGTGAACCACTCATGGACAGCTGTTTAGTTGTTAATGCAAATCATCAGCATGAGTTTGGTTACTGGTTTGCTATTGAGGCTTGGCGTTACCAAACCAAGAAATTTATGGTGGGGAGAAATAGTGATTTAAAACCCCTTCCATCTGAAGTCTGTGGATAGTCAATACATTGTCAAACACATATCTGCACACCAATCGACAATTCTCACATTATTGAACAACCCTTTTCTTTTATTCAGCTTTTAGCAAAAATGTGTCACTTTGTGAAAAAAATCTTAAAAGGTTTATCCTTCTCACATATCAAGGAGTTAAATATATATTCACAAAATAAATCACAGATTACATTTAATTTCCCTGGATAATGTTTGTGAGTTAGAAAAAGAGGTACGTCTTGTTCCTGTATCTTTGAATAAATCTAGGTTCGCATGACATCTAGGGTTTTCTTACTATTGACAGATTTTAAGGGTCCTACTCAATACGCCCTAAAGCATATTGACTTAAATGGAGGTCAATAAGCTTTGTATCTCTTAGAGTCATTCTTCAACACCTGCTTTTAACCTACTATTTTTAATGTCTTTTAGAAGAAAAAAAAGAATTACTTGTAAATTCAAGTGTTTTTTTTTCAACTAGAACACTGCTTATCTCAGGGAAAGCTTTTAAGAGAACTCTCATTTTTCAATTTTCCTGATATTTCATCTATTTTGTTATTTCATTGCAGGGAACCAATTCACATAGAACAGTATACAAATATGTAAAGATGTTGTGATGGGGAACGTCAGTAGAAACTAGAAGCACTAAATAAAAATAAACATCAAAACACAGTGTTACCATTGATATCATACACATATGCTTAAAATTACACTAGTCACCAAATCAACTTTAGCTTAATGAAGCAGTTAGGCATTAAATCACTTTGTTTATGTAGCCATAGTAACACCTCCCTGCATGTGACTTGCACAGCTTTCCCAAACACTTCCTGTAAAGTGAGATCTAATGTTTACACTTCTTTTAATGCACATTCTGTTTAATTTAGAATATCCTATTTCTTGCTATGTTAATACCATGCTACTTCTAAAGCAAGTTAAAATCAATTGAATTCAAATAGTTTCATTGAAAATTAAACCATTTTGTTTTCATGCAGGCTGTGTCAATCACAGCCAGGGGACGTGTGGCTTGGGCTGCATAAACAGAAACAAAGGTGATTTAACTCCTAAATGACTGAGAATTAAGCAGTGAAACTGCATGGGGTATGATCTATACACCAAAACTGCTTCAATAAGCTAAAGTTGTTTTGTGTCTATAGTACCTCTTTAAAGGAACACTAAAGTGTGATACAAATATGTATTTCTTTTTTTGACAATCTTTATTTATTTATTCAGTTTTTCAATTTTGACAAGTAAAAAGTGGGGTTTACAGAAGGAAAAGAGGGTGGGATGTTGAACAGTTATTTGGAGTATACAAATGCAGTAGTAAACATCCATAATTACATAGCATTACTTATTTTCGTGTTTACAGATCACACGTTAGGTGAGAGCTGGAGGGTATGCCTGGTATCTATTGCAATTCAACCCAGTCGGTATATGTGAGTGTCATAAGGCTTTCGTAGTCTCAAACCCCTAACCGTTTGGGTCTTCTTGCAGCCCAGTGCGTGATATACGCGAGAATGGTGTGGGACCCTGCCTGAGTCGGGTAATCAGAGGGCTGTATGTTTGGGTGAGTCCACTTGTGGTGGGACTTCCTTGCAGATGTTCATTTAGGGTTTTTCAGATGCTGTGGATGGAGTAACCTGACCCGTCCCACCTGCGTCCAGGTGCACATACTCTGTAAGGTATGTCCCTTTCTGTAGTTGGAGGAGCATGAGTATAAGATATGTCCCGTGAGTGTGCGTGCCCTGTGGGGGTGTTGCCTGTGTGTTGTTGGGTTGCTTCTGGTGCTGAAAGTGGTGGGGTCTATTGTGCGGTAAACCTTGCTTATGGGCCATGTAATTTTTAGGCTTTTGGGGTGTCTTGTGTGTATCTGTCCCTTAGTATCGTTTTTGTGGGTTCTATCTACTGACCCTCTATGGTTCCGTACTTGGTATAGTATTTCCTTACATGTTCCCTTGGATGGAGTGTCTTAGTCTAGTACATGGTGTGGGGTGGTCTAGTCAAGGAGTAGTTGAGAAGGTGGAGGGGGTATATGGGGTAGGATGGTGGGAGCAGTCTAGCTGGGAAAAAGAAGAAGCAAGGGAGAGATTAGGAGCAAGGGGGGAGGGGGGCTCTGTTCCTGATCGTAGTGTAGTTTTTCATGAGGCTGAGCCTGCTGCCGCGATGTAAAGGATCCAGGGGGTCCAGGTTAGATGACATTTCTCCGAGCGGCCCTGGAGGGCTGCTGTCATAGTCTCCATGGTATGTTTTTCTCCCACCCTATCCACCCATTGTTGGAAGGTGGGGGCGGCCGATCTTTTCCACGGGGTGGGTATCAGTGATTTAGCTGCTCTCAATAAGTGTCTTGTGAGGGATTTTTTGTAGGTTTTCAGTGATATGCTGGTGTGATGTAGTAGCATGGGGAGGGGTTGGAGCGGGAGCTCCGGATCCGATATTTCCCGTACCTTGGTGTTTATCATCTCCCAGAAGGGGGTGATGGCTGGGCAGGTCCACCATATGTGAATCATGGTGCCTTTCTCTGCTCCGCATCGCCAGCATTTCTCATCATTGTCTGGGTTCATGCAATGTAGTGTGTCAGGGGTTCTGTACCAGGTAGTTAGTAGCTTATAGCTCATCTCCTGATATTTTTAGCTAATAGAACTTGTGTGTGAGTAGGAATATTTTATCCCATTCACGGGCTTCGAGTACCTCCCCTGTCTCTCTCTCCCATCTGGCGATGTATTTCGGTGGTGGTCTATTCTCACCCTCCAGAAGCAGTGCGTATAGCGTCGAGATCCCTCTCTCGATATGTCGCCTACTGATGCATATTTTTTCAAAATATAAGATAAATGTGGGGTCTCGATGGAATTGTTGTTTGGCTGTTGCGGAGTTGTAGAAGGATTTGACCTGGTGGTATCGGAATCAGTCGAGCATCGTTGGGGCAGTATCTGGGATTAGTTCGGGTAGGGTTTTTAGGGCGCCATTGTTGCACCATTGGCGTATGTAAGACCAATCCGACCGGCCAAAGTTTTTTAGGTCTGCAGGTGTCAATCCTCCTCCGATGTCTGGGTTATGGGTGAGGGGTGTGAGCGGGTTGCTATGTGTCGTCAGCTGTTGAGGGTATCTGAGTGCGCACCACACCTTTAGGGTTGCGTCTATCAAAGGGTTGCCAGTGCTGAGGGCGTTCAATGTAAGCTAGAGCCCATCATCATCCTCATCTGGTTGTAAGTAGGCAATCTAGTATATTATATGTGGCACTAAGCTCTAATTTACCTCACATTAAAGAAACACTATAGTCCCCAGAACCACTTCAGCTTAATGTAGTGGTTCTGGTGTCTATAGCCTGTCCCTGCAGGCCTTTAATGTAAACACGGCGGCACTGCAGCACTGGCGTTAGTTAACATGGCAAATCATATGGGTGGGGCATTGTGATGTCACATGGGGGGGCGGCAAACTTTACTTTTGCCTAGGGCTGTGTGAGCTGTGGCCGCACAGTGCCCCATGGTAGTTAGGAAATGTGTATGTGTGACTGTCTGCCTGTGACTGTGTGTGACTGTCTGCCTGTATCTGAGTGTGTGACTGTCTGTCTGTAAATGTGTGTGTGGGGCTGCAGGGATTTTGTAGAAGGGGGCAGGGGTTTTGTATTGGGACAGGAGTCTTTATAAGGGGGGATAAGCAGGGGATTTGTGGAAGGGGGTTGCAGGGGTTTTGTAGACGGGGCAGTACAGGATTTGTAGAAGGGACAGGACAGAGGTTTTGTAGGAGGGGCGGGGCAGGACAAGGTTTTTGTAGGAGGGGCTGACAGCGGTTTTGCAAAGTTTACAAATTGTAAAAAAAAAAAAAAGAAAGAAAACCTATTTTACAGGTTTTTTTTTTTGGGGGGGGTTGGGGGAGGGGGGGTGCCAAGCACAGGATCCGCCCCGGGTGCCAAATGCTCTAGGTACGCCCCTGCCTTCAGCAGCCTCACGTGGAGGCATATGAGTGTCCAGGTTGTCTGCCTGTGGCCCACCCGTGCACCTCTGACGAAGTGACCATGACCATAGTTTGAGCCAGCCTCCCCTCGCAGGGGTGGGTGAGTCTCGTGCCCTCTGTCCCCCCTCCCAAGCAAGCTTTTCCCACCCGCTGTTGCTCTCTGAGTGGCTAAGTGTCCTGAGCTTCATCCATAAGGTTTGGGCCGGAGATCTGATTCAATTGAGTCCCGGTGTAGGCTGGGGTTCCCCGGGGGCGAGGGGAAGGGGGGGTGAACCAGCGGGCGTGCACCCAGCTGTGGGGCAGGGTTTTAGTGCTGTGAGGAGAAGTACATACCGCCAAGGGGAGAATCTGCTTCAAAGTCCAGGGTGTCCGAACCTGCTGGGTGTGCAGGGGGGACCTCCATCCCGCGGGGGAGGAAAGTTCTCAGACTTGTATGATTCTGGGCTTTATTCTTTGGGACCATCTGGTCCCCCTCTCCGTAGGGGCCTTTCCCTCCGGTTGTCAGGCGGGGTCGGCCCAGCGGGGCCTGCAGGATGCTGTGGTGGGCCCATCAAAATCCAGTTTGGTATAGCCACCGCTGGCAGGTCCAAGGCTCTCAGGTACCCGGGGACTTCGTTCGGCCATCTCAGTGTGCGCCATGTGTTGTCCTTCCGAGCTTGCAGGCTAAATGGGTGTCCCCATCTGTACGGGATCCTCCCGTCTTGCAGCATTCGGGTAAGTGGTCGTAGAGCTCGGCGTGCTTCCAGCGTCAGGGGCGAGAGGTCTTGAAACAGGGACACCTGGGCGTCCATATAGGTGATGGTTTGTGGTCTGGCCGCCTTCATAATGGCCTCTTTCAGTTGAAAGGATAATAGGCAGCATATAGTGTCTCTGGGGAGTCCGTCGTTCCTAGGGGGTCGGAGTGCTCTGTGGGCTCTCTCAATATTGTAGGTGTCTGGGGCTCCCTCTCCCAGTACTTGTGTGAAGAGTTGCGGCAAGATGGCGCTGAGGTCTTCCCCTGCTTGTTCCGGCAGGCCTCGCTTGCGGATATTATTACGGCGGCCGCGGTTGTCCAGGTCTTCGACCTGTCTCCTTAGATCTAGGAGAACGGTGCCCTGCCTTGAGGTAGCATTGTCAGCAGCTTGTAAGTGTTTAGAGGCCAGCATACAATCGGCTTCTAGCTCAGTAACCCGCTGCTACAGGGCGGTTAGGTCACTTCTTACCTCCTGAATCTCTTCTCTGATAGCAGAGTGCATTTCCTGCACCAGGGTCACCTTGTCTGCCTTTTTTCACCATGTTAGAGGCAATAGCTGCCAGGTCAGCAGATATCTGGGTTAGGGTGTCTGATTGCATGGAGCCTGCTATAGATCCGGCCGTGCTGCTTGCGCCAGGTGAGTCCCTAGATATACAAGAACCCCCCTCCCTCCTTGGTGCCTTAAAAATAGTTTTTAAAAAAGCTTTTTACCTACTATTTGCAGCATTAAGGCTCCCTTGGGGCTGCTTACCTCTTATCCTCCTGCATTGTCATGGAGAATGCACACTTCTCTTGGTATGGTCCAATCAAATGCTCCACATAGAGGAATAGTGGTACAACCCTAGGAAGCGCTGAATCAAAGATTTCCTGTGGAGGTTGCAACTTCACATGACCATGTTACATAGTTACATAGTTACATAGCTGAAAAGAGACTTGCGTCCATCAAGTTCATCCTTCCTCATATTTGTTTTTTGCTGTTGATCCAAAAGAAGGCAAAAAACCCAGTTTGAAACACTCCCAATTTTGCAACAAACTAGGGAAAAAAATTCCTTCTTGACCCCAGAATGGCAGTCAGATTTATCCTTTGATCAAGCAGCTATTATGTTATGCACTGTCATTGCAGCGTAAGCGCTTCCAGTGGCTGTCAGTGTAACATGTGTGCTTAAATCTTTCTGCAAAATGGCAATATTTTACCTTGAATGTTAAATGACAGGACCACTGCACCCAGGCCATTTCTAATCAGGACTCAGAAGACCCAAGACCGTTTTATTTTTCTACGCCATTCCAGCATCTCCCACAGGTGGGACAGGATTTTTTGCATAAATAAAATCATGAAAAAAAAATGTTAAAATGTTTAAATTTGAAAATATTCCTTTAAAAAAAAAAAAATGAAAATAAAATAAAAACAAAAAATGTTTTCTCAGACTTCATGGTCCCGCACCTCTGAGAATGGTATCACAGTGTTGGCGAGGATACAGCGTGGAGACCTCCCCGGTTTCCAGAACCAATTTCCATGTTGCAGCAGGAAGGCGTGTGTAATGACTGAGGGATTACTAAATAAGTAGTGGCATTTTGCTGCGAAATTGCCCATTCAGCTCAAAGGGGAAAAAGTTGTACCAGCACGGCAAGGTATGAGTAGTTTTTACTGATTCAGCGTCTTCTCTTGATGTAAAACAGCAGATGTGGGCAGCTGCAAACCTGTTAGTGAATTTTCTCATCACCCACCTTTCCTCCAAGTTCTCCCCGTGGCATTTTTGGCTAAGAGAATTCAAACGGTCTCTAAACTCCCAGAACCACTGAGAGCCAGAAAACCCCATAAGCAATACAATGCCCTTCTATCAAATTTGGGACAGCCTTAAAGAGATACACACTTTTAAAAAATCTAAACAATTACAGCTTGTTGTAGTGGTTATAGTGCTTGGAGACTACGGATGCATTCATTAAAGTTTTGTCAAACAGTTTGAGTGGTTTGACAAAAACTGTGGTTCTCTCTGGAACCAAAGGTCCACTTGTCTGTGTTTTACTTCCTTTTTATCCATCCAAAATATTTGCACGGTTTAGCAGGATTTGTCAGTGCCTAATCACCATAAACTCTGAAATGAGAGAGGTTTTTTGTGTCTCTATTATTACATTAGTAGCAGAAGGAATGGGGCTTGAGTGTTTGGTAGACCCATTGTTTTTGTATTTCGTTTCCAAAAATGTAACCTGTTAGACAAAAATGGAGTGACTGTGCCTATAGACTCCTTGCACCATAGACATTACAAATCATTGTGGTGGGTATGGTGCTGAGACTTCACTTTCAACCCTTGAGGGTTAATTACTTGTTTGATGTTGAGGGAGACTTTAAAAGATGAGCAAGATTGGATTTGCAAATTGTTCATCTTAAAGTGCTTGTTCATTTGCACATAAACTAGTGTAATTTGTGAAATGGTGATTGAGGAGGTACTCCATTTTGAATAATGAAAAAAAAAACCTGCAACATAATTTAAAGGTGAGAAATTTAAAGAAAAGGTCATTATTTAAAGGAACACAAACATGTATTCCTGACCCTATAGTGTTTAACCCACCATTTAGGTAGCGTGCCCTCCCCTTAGCCCCCGTATAAAAGTGTAAAACTCACCTTATGTGTGACATCATCAAAATCGGCGATTTTTAGCCAATCCAATGCTTTCCCATAGGGAAAATTCAGCATCTCCATTCAGAGCGTGGGGACGCTGAACGTCAGGGCTGCTTTTTCGGCAGCACTGACCCAGGAAGCACCTCCAGTGGCCATCTAAGGAGTGGCCACTTGGAGGTGTCCCTAGAGGCAATGTAAACACTGCATATTCTCTGAAAAGGCAGTGTTTGCATGAAAAAATCCTGAAGGTAACTATTATACTCACCAGAACAACTACATTAAGCTGTAGTTGTTCTGGTGACTATAGTGTCCCTTTAAGAGTCATGGTCTCCTCATAGGATACCAAGGCTTGCTGGGATGGTTAATTACCACAACTCCTCTATTTTTGCCTAAAGTTTGTAATACATTTGTCAATAGACCTCATTACCATTACCTGAACACTGCTCTGTTTAATAACTAAACACATTTAGTTTTTTAGATCTAATGCAGGTTAATGTTAAACAAAAAAGCATGATAATTAAAAATATAGTCTTTGGTTTTTTTAATTGTCTCGAACAGTGGTTTTCGACTGGTGTGCATTATCACTCTTATTGCCTCAAGTCTCCTCAAAGTTTACCACAAATATAATTACGTCAGGGCGGTAATAGGTTGAAATCAATCAATCCTTAAAATGTGTTTTATTAAAAAAAGTGTCAGCATTACAATTAGTATCTGGCAATTAATTAAAAGTAATAAATCAGTTTGGGTAGAAGGATTCATATCTCTCTAGTGAGGCTTTACTGAAAGAAACAGTGAAAGCACTATAACCACTGCAACCTGCTCCGTATGCAAAGAGTTTGACAACTTACTTGGGGTTCACCTTGCGCTGTTTACTTCCTCCTTTGCAGCCTGCAAATTTCAGCACTGAGATAAGACTGGTGGTGCAGGATCTAGCTCATTGTAAGTTCATTTAAAGGAGCATTATAAGGTCAGGAACACAAACATGTATTCCTGACCCTATAGGGTTAAAACCACCATCTAGCCTACTGGTCCCCTCATGCCTCCCTAAATATATAAAATCTTACTTTTATTCAAGTCTGGAGCTGCATACTTTGTCCCTGTTTCCTTTTGACCTGCTCAATGCCTACTGATATCATCAGAAGTGGTAGCCTGATCCAATCACAGTGCTTTCCCATAGGATTGGCTGAGACTGACAAAGAGGCAGATCGGGGCAGAGCCAGCACAATTCAAACACCGCCCTGGCCAATCAGAATCTCTTCATAGAGATTAACTGAATCAATGAATCTCTATGAGGAAAGTTCAGTGTCTGCATGCAGAGGGAGGAGACACAATGTTTGGATGCAGTTTTGGCAGCCATGACCCAGGAAGGATCTCTAACAGCTATCTGAGGAGTGGCCAGTGAAGTTATCACTAGGCTGTAATGTAAACACTGCATTTTCTCTTAAACAAGCAATGTTTACAGCATAAAGCCTGAAGGTAATGATTCTACTCACCAGAACAAATGCAATAAGCTGTCGTTGTTCTGGTGACTATAGTGTCCCTTTAAGTAGGGTTTTTCCGGAATGTTGTAAAGCAATGCGGAATGTTGGTGCCAGACCCGATCCTGGGGGTTGCAGATCACTCAAGTGCTATGTAGATAGGCGGGGTGTGCAGCACTAGGTTCCACCTCTTCAGGATGTTCTCACTCCTCTCATTATGCCCCATCCTCTCAGCCACTCGGCATCGACTGTGCCGAAGCGTGGTCTAATCAGATGGACAGAATCTGAGGGGCCGGAGTCGGCCGTGTTGTACCATCCAGCCTACCTTCCAGGACCGTCTCTGGTTGGCGACATATATGTGGGGGGCATGGAGGCTTATATTCAAAATTTCAGTCCCATTACCAAACTTTTCTTAATATGTCAAGGTAGTTGAACTGAAACATTGGCTATATGCAAATACATGCCTCCTGAAAATACATTCACTCTTTTGTTTACTTTGAAGCCCTACGAGCGTGAGGACGTCCAGTGTCAGTGAAGCAATTTCTTTTATAAACCTACGTTTCTATGAAAACTGAAGTTTTGTTTTTTTTGCGGCCCCCATCAACTTAAACCTTGTTTATTTGACCCGTGTTAGCCTTTGAGTTTGACATGCTTGCTGTACACAAACACACACCTTTGCACACAATCACTGACACATAAATCACAGTAAATACATAGCTCCCTCACTGCCCAGGCCCAGGGCACTCTCTGAAATCTTATGAACTAAGTAAAGGTTTTAACTTTTTAAAAATAAACTTTGTCTTTTTCATAGACCCATATGCATGCACACATTAACACTGACCCATGCACACACACATACACTCAGAGACTCATACATGCATTCACACTCAGTGACCCGTACACATAGAAACAGACCCATACAGACACACACTCGGTGACCCAGAAAGACACACGCAGTGACCCGAACAGACACATGCAGTGACACAGATAGTCTGACAGTGAAATCATTTACAAACACACACATATTCAGTGATCTATACAAACACACTCAGTGATCCATACACATACTGACCCATTCAGACATACCCTCCGAGGTGGACTCAATGACCCATGCAGACACACTGAATGACCCACATATACACACTCACACTCAATGCCTCCCCACAAACACTCACACACAGCTAGCCCCTCCTCCCCCCTCCCCCACACACACACACACTGACCTGTGGAGGCACACATACAGACACATGCACACTGACAGCTCTATTAACTTGACTTACAAGCATTCACTGTTTTGCCTTCAGTGTCCCTTTATCT